TTTCATTTCTGTGGAGGCTCTATTATGTAGGTATGATTGATCAGGTCATTGGCCATTGGTGTTTGAATTCAATCACTAGCCCTGTTTTCCTGATGTCAGAAGGTGGGACTGAAATTTCCAACCCTCTAATCACATGGTTGTTTCCTCTGGTGATAACCCTCCATCCTTAGGTAAGATAGGAGCATTCCAAAAATTACATTATTAACATAAAAATACACTTTTATCTTCTGCTCATTTAGGAAATTCCAAGGGTTTTAGGAGCTCTGGCAGGAATTGAAGGAAGATCAAATATGTATTTCTTACTATAAATCACAATATCACAACACTGATATGTGCGTGTGAATGTGTGTACATATATCAACACACACACAAATAGATATTTTAACAGAATGAAATCAGAAAGAAAGAAATATTCTTGACATACTTTTTTATTTTCCTTATTAATGTGCAAAAAGCTTTGCTTTCAGAAAATATATTATCAGTAAAGATGCTTTTTCAGGAAAAGCAATGTTGAAAATTCTTCCTTCTTTTTAAAAACTTTGGTTTAACATTAACATCAAAGGTATGGTAATACATTTATTTTGATTCTTGATTTTCATGTCTGTCATAACTGAGAAAGACATGTCCTCTCAAAGGCATCCATGGGAAGAAGTCCATTATTGCTACACTTATAAAATCACAATATTAATTTTTCAACCCCACCAAATAATTTTGAAGAGAATTTTGTTGAAAGGTGGCTATAAATTTGCCCTTTCCCTAATGTCATTAATTTCTCCTAAGAGATAAAGGTGTTATTATTTTATACTTATAACAAATAGGTACAGTTGAAGTTTTTTGGCTATAATATATCAAAACAGGTTTGAGAATTCTTTTCCCAAAGTTTTGAAGTGTTCAGATGTGCGACTTTAACCATAGGACATATTTGCATTGTTTTTAGCCACGGGATCACTCCAAATTTTCCTAGAGTACATTTTTAAAAAGGTTCCTCCATAGCAAGAATGTTTTTCAAAAGCCATCGTTTCCTGACTCCTTGTAAGAAAGGCAGGCTTACAAATATATATACCAGATCACTTACCACTGGTGGCATTCTCATCATTTTTATGAAAAAAGAGATCTATGAGAGGCATAGAATCAATTGGGCCATTTTCTTGTTTCTTTGTGGCTGCCTTATTAGTAGTTTCTTAGCTAGAGTTTTCTTTCCAGGAATCTTGATAAGGCACTTGTCTATTTTTTTCATTATCTACACTGGATAATGTAATAAATTAATCAAACTAATGTAGTTACACATTAATAAAATTGAGTATATCACATTATTAAAAGCAAAGGAGGTTAAGAAAGATACAGGAAATTTTTACAAATCATATATCCAACAAAGGGCTTGCATCCAGAATAGACAAAGAATTTTCAAAACCCACAATAAGAAATAAATGACTCAATTAATGAAAAGGCAAAAGAATAGCATACTTACAAAAATATGTATATAAATGGAAAATAAGCCCATGAAAAGATATTTATGTCATTAGCCATAGGAAAATACAAATTAAAACCACAATAATAAGATACCACTCTACACCTATTACAATGACTAAAATAAAAATACTCACAATACCAAATGCTGGCAGAAACTAAGATTCTCAAGTACTGCTGATAAGAATGCAAAATGGTACAGTCATTCTGGAAAACAGTTTGCTAGTTTCTTACAAAGTAAACATACACTTACCATATGACTCAGCAATCCCACACTTGAATAGATCTACCCTAGATAAGCAAAAATCATGTTCACTTAAAAATCTATACATGTACTGTAATTTATAGAACTACAAATTAAAAGAAAATGGTCAAATTTACTGCATAATTTTTAAAAATAAAATGAAAACCATACACAAATGTTGAAACAGCTCTTTTCATATCTGCCCAAACTGGAAACAACTCAAAGGCACTTGAGTATTTATACATATGAACTGTGGTACAGTCACACAATGAAATACTCCTCAGTCATAAATGCAAGAACAAACTATTGATATAACACCATAAACAAATTTCAATGGAATTATGCCGGGTAAAAGAAACCAGTCTCCAAAAGTCACAGAGTGAATGATTCCAATTTTATGATATTTTTGAAAAGACAAATCTGTAGAGATGGAGAATGGATCAGTAGCTGCTAGGGCTTATGGGTGGAGAAAGGAATGACTATAAATATATAGCCCAAGGGAGGTTGTTTTATTTATAGCGGTAGAACTATTTTGTATCCCAATTATGGTGGCAGTTGTACGAAGGTACATACATGTTATAATTTATAGAACTACAAACTAAAAGAAAAAGTCAACTTTACTGTATAATAATTTTTAAAAAGTAGAATTAAAAGTAAAAACAAATGAGGTCACAGTTAACCCATCAACATCATGACAAGACGACATAGACACTAACTGAGAGCATAATACTTGTTAGTAAGCTCAATTGATTTATTTTAGGTGAAAAGTAAATACAGATAGAAACTTTAATATGTTTTTCTGCAACTCAATGGGTGGTTCAAGCACACACCTGACTTTGCAGACATGCTGTCTTAAATCCCTGTGGCTCTAAGTATGGTCTATGGATTAGCACAGTGATTTTCAACTCGTTTGCCCCAAGAGGCAACCTGGTATCTGCTAGAATTGTCAAAACATGCAATACCTGCCTACTTAGTCAGGGGCACAGACCTCTGTTCCCTAAGAATGCCAAATAAAAAAGAAATAACAACAGCCAACACAACAATAGCCATCTGGTGTGAATGAATCAAAATTATACCTATTTTTTGTGTCAGATAGACAAAAAACATATTTTTTGGTGTGACACAGAATTTTGGTAACTAGTTTATGCACACCATGAGTTGAAAAAGGTTGAAAATTGCTGGATTAGCAGCATTTTGCAGCCCCTGGAAACTTACTAGAACTCTGAGTATAAATTCCAACAATCTAGGCTTTAACAGGCTTGCTACCTGGTACTGATGATGCAGGCCAAAATTGTGAGAAATACTACCTAGAGCATTAACATACAGTTTCCCTGACCCCATCCCAGAGTTTTTGATTTAGCAGATCTTGTGTGGGGGCCAATAATTTTAATTTCAGTAAGTTCCCAGTTGATGCTGATAGTTCTGGCCTGGGTACCAACCTTTGGACACCAGGGTGCTAGTCCACTCTATCTATTACAGTAGCCATTAGCCGCATGTGGCTATTTAAATTTTAATCAAGTAAAAAGACATAAATATTAAAATGTTAGCTTCTCATTTACACTAGCCACATTTCAGTTGCTCCAGAGTCACATTCTTTACCACATGGCTCTTTAAGAAACCATTTCCTGACTGGTAGGGAAGCCCTGTTTACCTAATGCACCTAAGTGATCATGAAATATTCTATATCTGTGCTGATACACAGTCACTGGCCACATGCAGCTGTCCAAATTTAAATTCTAATTAATTACAATGAAGTAAAATTTAAAATTTAATTCCTCAGTCGTACTAGTCACATTTCAAGTGCCTATTAGCTACATGTGACTAGTGGCTATCATATTAGATAGCACAGGTACAGAATATTTCTATCATTACAAATAGTTCTATTTGTTTAGAACTATTTGTTCAGTTTATTGAAAAGTGCTTCTCCAGATCATGAGTTGGGAAAACTTTTCTTAAAATTCTCTTAATAGTAAATAGTAAACAATTGAGGCTTCCAGTCATAACTACTCAACTCTGCCTTGTAGCTGGAATACAGCCATAGACATTAAGTAAACAAGTGAGCATGACTGGGTTCTGATGAAACTATTTACAGGAACAAGCAGCCGGTCTACAGGCCATAGCTTGCTGACTCCTATTCCAGATCATTCCATCGCCAAGCCTTTAAAGTCTCTGGGACTCTGCTTTCACACCACAAAATGAACATTTCAGGTAAAATTAAAAAGCATAAAATGGGAGAGTCTATGAACAGCTATCTTGGCTACTTTAACCCTGGCTATATCAAGGCAATGTTTAAATGTTGTTGTAAAAAGATTATGTAATATTTGGGAGGGGATCTAATGTCAAGAGAGGAAAGCTTGGCTCTGTGGCAAGCCTAAAATAAAGATATTTTGATACAGATTGAGACACAGTGGTTTAGAATAGAGTAATAACTACTATAAAGCATTTTTTTCATTGTTTCATTTAGTGCTTCACAGTGTATATCTCCATATAATGGAGATTTTCACTACTTTATGCTATTTGGTCCACAGTATTCAAATTCTTCTCAGTAATGTATTAACTCATATCTTTGCAAATATTCTCAATTATAGTACTACTTCATTACTATCAAATTACTGCACACTTGTTTTGTTGTAAATATTGGTATTTTTCTCAGATACCTAATAATTAATTTATTCCATTGAGAACTAAAGCAGGAAATTTTAGTTCAATTAGTATCTTTCTTACCTCTGGTTACTCCCTCTGTTTCATTGTTTCCTCACACAACAGTCAGTTCTTTTGGGGAAATAAAACTGATAAATGAAAATTACTGTCTAATTCTTCACATTGAAAAGTTTATATTCGAAGTTTAAGAGAAAAATTATTAGTGTTTCCTTTCAAGATATGAAAACTTTCTTCTATATGTATTGGGGGAGTCTTTTAAGTATGTACAATCTACTAGGCACTGAAAAACGGAGATACAAGATTCCTTTTGCTAAGCATTTAAAGAGAGTGGAGGTTTAAAAGTGCCTAGAATCTTAAAGGAGAAATGCATCAGTTCTTTATCCTCATTTTGTCTTCTAACAGGTCAGGTGGATGCTCCCAGGAGCCATTGGGTTCCCTGGGGGTGTAGCTGAAAGAAACAGAAAGGCTTAGTTGGTCAAGTGAAATCTGTATAAATGTGACAGGGGGAGTTGTTGATCCAAGTGCTCAAAAGAGGGGTCAAGTTCATTAGATAGAATTATTTTCAATCATTTTCTTTCTATTTTTATCTCCCTTAACTATCATTTACATTTTGTTTTTCCTTTGAAAGTTTAAAAAAAAAAAACCCAAAAAGGGAATATTAAAAATTCACTGATACAAACCACCCAAGACCAATGATGTCTACTCTCATCTAATGAACGTCATTTGCAGGTAAGTTTGAGGCACCCTATTCCACATGACAAATATTTTCTATTCAGAAAAATAGATACTTAGTTTGCTGCATTTCCAAAAGGTCACTAATGCCAGTACTGGTTGTTTTTTGTTGTTGTTTTCTTTTTCTTTTTGCTTCTTCTTCCGTCCCTTCCTTTCCCTTCCTCCCATCCCCCTCCTCCTCTCACTCCTCCCCCTCTTGTTTCTCTTCTTTCCCCTCCTTCTTCTCCTCCTCCTCTTTCTCTCTCTCTCTCTTTTCTGTTACTTGTTTGTTCTCTTTTTAGAGTTGTGCTGAAATCTGTGGCCCTTGCTCTGGATCCTGGCAGAAGAATGAATATCAAAGACAAAGTGACAGAATTCAACCTAACAAGTGAAAAGTAAGCAGTAAAATATAGAAGAATCATTGGTAATTGTACTACAGTAAAGTTACTAATCAAGATTGTGGCTATTTACCAATTAAGGAAGAAAAAGTATTCAAAATTAAATATTAGAAAGAAAACACTACATTTTGGTAAATAATAGCATTTATGTTTTTCTGATAAGTGTTTAACATTTTTTTTCTATCAACTCTATATTGTTAATCTACAGAGAAAAGATTTTGTTCACTTCTGAATCAATTCAGTGATTAGAAAAAAGCCATAGTGAATGCGGAGTTTTGAGACAATTTGGTATATTAAAGATCATATCAAAGATTTTTGGTGTTCATGGAAATGGTCATTCCTATTAATCTACCAAGCACATAATAGACATTTGGCAAATGTTTTTGAAATTAATGTTGACTGTAATCAAAGCTGAAACAGTGAAAGTGTAGGGATGTTTGTGCAAGTTTTTCCAATTTACAGGTATACCAAAGACAAATGATCACACAAAAGTAGAGTTGAGTTGATTAATCCACTAGATAAGAAAAATAAGGTGAATGTAGCTAGATAAAAAGACTAGATTTTGGGTAAAGGAGTTCATCAGTTTACAGATCAGAGACATTGCCACTCTGTAGAACATTTCTCTAAAATCATGATGTGTTCCAAATATTTCTGTCTTTCTTTCTGCCAAAGACTTTATTCTGATTGGCAGTTAATGGACCATGCCTCCTGTAATGACATTTCAACCTATCTTGATCTTTCCCTATAAGCAAACAGGAAGTGCAGGCTTGTTTAGACTGAAATGGTACAGTAGAGTTTACAAATGCTTGAGTCTGAGCAAGTATGTAAATGGCACCAATATGAAAAAATAAATATAAAGAAAATCCTTCAAAGAATTAAAGTAAAACTTAAACATATTATTTTAGACAATAGAACAATATTTAAATGGAAATATGAGACCAAAGTGAAAGTTTATTTAGTTACTAATGCACCTATGGTAGGAACATTACTCTAGAAATATTTTGTGCAAACATTTGAAAAATTGTGGACCTTTTGTAGAAAGTGTTACCTATAGTCTTTTAAATTAAAATCTAAATGAGTTTAGTAAAAAAGCCTATGCTTGTCTTATGAATTTTTCTAGGAAATATGCAAAATCTAACAGATCCCCACTGACTAAATCATTTGGAAAGCCTATGTGTATATGGTCATTTCAAAGAAGTCCATGACAATGTACATTGAACTTGATGAAAGTTAAGTAAAGGTGGGTTTTAACGTAAGGCAAAAACCAATCAAATTTGGTAAAAGTGTTAACCCAATTTTGAAGACTTAGTGCTTATGGCTATAAAAAAATGAACTATGATGAGGCTCACTTCAAAAAATTAGTGTAAATGTGTTAACAGGTAAAAAGTACAAAAAAAGTCAACATTTATTATATGTTCCATTAGAACTCATGTAACAGAAAGTAAACTGATAGAAATGAAGATTTCTCTTATTTAAAAAATCCTGTTTACTGGACAAATTCAAAAGTCTTTTTTTTTCCTTTTTGTTAAAGCAGACTGCTCAACAAAACTTACTCAGCAGGTTTGGAGACATGTTTGTTTTAAATGACAGAGTATAAATAGAGTATTAAAAACAGAACTATTTAATCGTGAGCAGGAAATTAATATGACAGTATTCAAAAACCATATAATTATTTTCACTATTTGGTCCACAGTCTTCCAATTCTCTACAATAATATATAACTCAGATCTTTGCACATATAGTCTTAAATATAATACTACCTTCCTATTATCTAAATCATTTCATGCTATAAATATTAGTAGTTTTTGTCAGATATCTAGGAATTGATTCCACTGAGAACTAATGCAGTAAATTTTAGTTCAACTGGTATATTTATTACCATCAGTTATTCCCTCTTTTTCACTGTTTCCTTCTTGGAAACATAGTAGATTTTCACACCAAATAAAAAAATGATTTAAAAATATTTGATCAAAAGCCCACAGTAGGTAATGACCATTCTCTGTATTATCAACAACCTAAGATGCTTAAACAAAATTTTCCCTTATAATATTTAGGAAAAATTTATCAATTAAAAATAATTTTTAAAAAATTATTTGGGTATTTCAAATTTGTATATTTAGATCATTCATAATAAAGCACATATTCCTATGGAACTGGAGTAATTATAAAAAATAGCTATCACTAAGTGTATGTTATTTGCTAATTGAATTATGAAATTAAGCTCATGAGATATAGAATAAAGAAATAGCAATTACCTGTAACAAGCTGGAATTCCATCATGGACCTTGATGATATTAAAACATAATAAAAATAAATCAATGGAATATTTTTAAAACATAAAAGATTAAATGTCAGATTTTTAAATAATAAATAAAATTGATTTTACCCCTTGATGCAGTAATAAAAGTGTTTATTCAGAAATATTTCTCTATCTTTTTATTCCTTCTACTAAAATGTTTTCTATATTTTCATATATCAATGTCTACTTAGGTCTTTTGTTTTATTTCTTACTCAAAATGTTCACCTCTCATGAACACAGATGCAGAAATACTAATCAAAATATTAGCAAATCAAATCCCCCCAAAATGTGAAAAGGATTATATTCCATGAGCCAGTGGGGTTTAGCCTAGGTATGCAAGGGTGATCCAACATTTGAAAAACAGTTAATATAATCCCTCACATCAATAAGATAAGAAGAAACAAAAACCACAATCATATCAATATAAGCAGAAAAAAAAAAAAAAACACCAATTCATAATATAAACTCTGGATCAACTAGGAATACAGGAGAGCTCCCTCAATTTGATAAAGAATGTAAAAAAAAAAAAAACCTATATCTAACATCACTCTTAATGCTATGAAACTCAAATCCTCCCATTAAGATAAGGTACAAGGCAAAGATCTCACCTCTCACCACTTATTTTTAACATTATGCTGAAAGTGCTAGCTACTGCAATAAGACATGAAAAGGAAATAAAATGTATACATATTGGGAAATTAGAAAAAAACTATCTCTGTTTGCAGGTGACATAATCACCTATGTTATCAAAATCTGGAAGAAATGACACACACACACACACACACACAAAAAACAAAAAAAAACAAAAAAACCTCCTAACTCCTGCAACTAATAAGCATTTACAGCAAGGTCATCAGACAGAGGTCAATATACAAAAATCAATGATTTTCTTATATATTAGCAATGAACACATGGAATTCAAAGTTAAAAACACAGTACTGCTTACATTAACATCCAACAAAAATAAGATAATTAAGTGTAAATATAACAAAATATGTACAAAATTCATATAAAGAAAACTATAAGACTGATGGATGAGATCTAAGAACTAAATAAATGAAGAAATAGTTCATGTTTGTGGACAGGTAAACTCAATATTGTTAAGTTGTCAGTTCCTCTTACCTTGATCTATAGATTCAATGCAACACTATTAAGATTTCAACAAATTATTTTTTGGATATTGACAACCCAGTTCTTAAGTTTGCACCAAGAGGTGAAACACCCAGAATAGCCAACACAATATTTAAGGAGAAGAACAAGGTGGAGGTCTGGTACTCTCTGACTTCAAGACTTATAATGACACTACAGAAATCAAGACAGTATAGCACTGGTGAAAAAATATATAAATAGATCAATGGAACAGAATAAAGAGCCCAGAAATAGACCCACATAAATACAGGCAACTTACCTCTGACGAACAGTCAAAGGCAATACAATGGAAAAAAGATAGTTTTTTCAACAAATGGTCTTGAAAAAACTGGGCATCCATGAGAAAAATGTGAATCTAGGAACATACTTCACAAACAATAATTCAAAATGAATTGTAGACATAAATTTAAAATACAAAACAATAAAATACATAGAAGACAACAAAGGAGAAAACCTAAATGATTTTGGATATGGCGATAACTTTTAGATATAACACTGAAGGTGCTATACATGTAAAAAACAATAAGTGATAAAATGAACTTCATTAAAATTAAAAACTTCTGCTCTATGAAAGACAATAGCAGAAAGAAAAGCCAGAGACAGAGAAAATATTTTCAAAAGACACCTTTAATAAAAGACTGTCATCTAAAATATACATAAATTCTTCAAAGTCAACAATAAGGAAATAAACCATTTAAAAATGGCCCAACCACTTTAACAGATGTCTCTTTAAAGAAGATACGCAGATTGGAATTAGACATATAAAAAGATGCTCACACCATATGTCACCAAGCAAATGCAAATTAGAACAACAAGATTTCACTACACACCTATTAGAATGTCCAAAATCTGGAGCACTGAAAACACCCAGTGCCAGTGAGTCTGTGGAGCAATAGTTACTCTCATTCATTGCTAAGGGGAGTGCAAAATGGTATGACCAGTTTGTCAGTTTTCTACAAAATTAAGATACTCTTCCAATATGATCCACCAATCACATTCCTACCGGTATCTACTCAAAGGAGTTGAAAACATATGTCCACAAAAATCTGCCCACAGATGTTTACAGCAGCTTTATTTATAATTGCCAAGACATAAAAGCAACCAAAACATCTTTTAGTAGGATAATGGATAAATAAACTGCAGTACATCCCAACAATCGAATATTATTTAGCACAAAAAAATGGTTTTTGAGCCATTAAAAGATATAGAGGAATCTTAAATGCATATTTCTAAGTGAAAATGGCCAACATGAAATGGCTTCATATAGTATGACTCCATACTATAGTATGAGCAACTATTTGACAATCTGAAAAAGACAAAGCTATGGAGTTGGTGAAAAGATCAGTGGTTGCTCTGGAGGTGAGTAGAGGAGGGTGGGTGGCAAGGGATGAATAGGTAGAGCACAGAAGATTTTTAGGGCACTGAAAAAAATCTGTAAAAAGTGTAACTATGGATACATGTCATTATACATTTGTTCAAGCTCATAGACCATACTTCACCAAAAGTGAATTATAATGTAAACTCTCAACTATGGGTGGTTATGTCAGGC